CCTAGAAATGTTCTGTACCCATTCATTTCTCTTCCTCAAGGTGTTGCTTTCATGTTCCAGGGAGTGCCATCAGCCTCCGGGCTGTGCCCTCTGTAGGGCTTCCCTGAGCTCTGCCCTCCCAAAGCAGGTCCTGGCTGCTCCAGCCCCACCTGGAGTACTGGGGTATATGTGCTGGCTCCAGGGTCCAGCACGGGCATGGTGGTTCAGCCTCGCTTCCACTGCGACTGACCTCTCCCTCATCCTCTGAGGAGTTAATTTGGATATGTTGCACCCCACACTGTCTCAGCTCTGCTTCTAGAAAACCCAGCCTGTGTGACTCATCGGTAGCCATGTGGTCTGGATATCTGTCCCCAAGGGCCTCTGCCCTGACCACCCCCTTGATGTTCTTGTTTTCAAAACCTGGAAGCTCAGCACTAGGATTTGCTTCTTTATTTCTCTTTTTTTTTTAACTTTTTATTGGTACCGGGGATCGAACTCACGACTGCCTGTTTGCAAAGCAAGTACTTATGCCACTGAGCTAAATCCCCAGCCCCCTAGGATTTACTTCTAAAGGACCATCCAGCTTTCAGTGCTGTGTGGACATGTGCACGTGACTTAGACAATGTTGTTCTCTTGGTAAAATAATTCTTAAGACTGTGCTGTGACAAGAAAGAGGGCAATGGGCCCTGGGAGGGAGGCCTTTATTCGTCTTACAAGAGGGTAAACCATGCAGCCATTCGGCAAGCTTCAAAGCAGTCAGAGTCCACCCATTTATTAAGTGTGTATTTCAAGATTTTGACCCATTTCGGGACAATATTGAGAGCTGGGCTCTCTCAAAGATGGTGGTGTGTACGATCTCTACTGCGTCCCAGTGCAGCTGAACAAACGTTGCAGACTGGGACCGAGTGTCATTGCTGTTTATATCTGAAGGCCCAGAACATACAGGCCACAGGAGCTGCCTCTGTAGCCCCCATGGGTGTCATGTGTCATCAGCACCATCCGCTTTCTCTGTGCGGGCCTTAGTGGTCTCAGCCTGGTGACCCACGGTCCCCACAGTGCTCGAAGAGTCCACAGATGGACACCTCATCTTTGCCCACGCGGTCCCCTCACGTGCCAGGAGGGTGACATTCTCAAGGTTTTGTTTTATTTTTTGCAGTCCTGTGCATTTATGCTGAGCTATATCCCCAGCCCCTTTTGCTTTTTATTTTGTGACAAGGTGTCTCGAAGTTCCCTAGCCGGGGCTTGAACCTGTGACGCACGCAAGTGCTGGGATGCTGAAGCAGCATGAAGTCAGGTGCACAGGACATAGGCTGTATGCAGGATGCAGGCCACGCTGTGGTTCGGCTGCCCTGGTGATTCTAGGCGACCCTCACAAGCCCCCGCAGTGGAAATCGTGTGATGCCTGCTTTACAGATGGAAACTCGCACGGTCTGCAGCGGTTAAGTAACTGGCTGACTGCTCCTTCTGGGGTGTTTGCTCCCTCTCCTTCCCTTCTTTCCTCTGAGAAAGGGAGGTGATGACTGAGATGAGACAGCATCAGTGAGGACTGGTGACTGACTCAATTGACTTTTAAAGGCAGAGACGAAGAAGGGCACCTAACTGCACCTTGTTCCTGCGCGGCCTCGTGCCAGCTTGAGCTTGTCTGCCCAAGCATGGACTCGGCAGAAGTGGGAGCTGGATTAAGTGAGCAGAGGCTGCTGAAGCTTGGGGAGGCTCAGTCAGCTGAGGCTGGGGAGAGCCAGAGACCCTGGCCTGTGGGGACAGCACCTTGATTTGGGAGCATGAGACCCTCTTTGAAAGTTGGTTTCAGAGTTTCAGTCTATGCGATGTGGTGGTGCACGCCTGTGATCTCAGCAGTCAGAGGCTGAGGGAGTGGGGTGGCTGCAAGTTTGAGAGCAGCCTGGACCATAATCTGAGGTTGAGGCCAGTGGAACCCTGCCTCAGAAATCAAGCAAGCAAGCAAGCAATGATGAAATTAGAATTCATGAGTAATTCTGACTTCTTTCAGAGAAATCGCCAGTTTAGCTCCCACTTGTATGTTAGTCCACTTTCCTGTGCCTGGGGTAAAACAGCCAGCACCCACAGTGTGAGAAGAGGCTTGCTTTTTGCTCGTGGTTTTAGAAAGGTCAGCCCATGGTCGGCTGGCCCTGAGGCAGAAATCGCGTGATGGGGAGGCTAGCCAGAGGACAGCTGCTGAAACCTTGGCAGCAGGACGGGAAAGAGGGAGGAGCCAGCGACAAGCACAGACCCCTCCTCAGCCCTGGCCACAGACACATGAGGCTTGGGGGGTATTTTGGAGCTAAGCAATAATAACTGGATAATTGAAGCAGCTGGTATCAGGACTCTAAACTGGCGGGTGGCACATAATGAATGGACCATGGAGACCACCATGTACCCCTGCAGGGTTGTTAGGGAAAATCAAATAAGCTAAAGGTCATCTCATACTGTCTCAGCAGTGAGGAGTTAAAGCTTACGAAGTGCCACACCGGCCACTGAGATCCATTAGTGCCAAAGGGAAATATTACTTAGGTTATAGTTTAAGCTCACTTTGTAGCCCAGGCTGGTCTTGAACCCACAATGATCCTCCTGCTCCAGCCTCCTGAGTGCTGAGATTACAGGCACGCAATGCCATGCCCAGTCTAACACAGGGTTTTTGCACAAGGTACACCGTCACTGTGTGTATGTGAATAATGCATAACAACACAGCTTTGCACAGAAAACAGCGAAGGCTCCTGTGGTTATTATTTGAAAAATTCATACTGCATACGCAGGCGTCAGCACCATATTTGGCTCTCCTAACTCACAGGCAAGGCAGCAGCCAACCAGAAGCAGTGGTAGAATCTCACAATCCCGTCTTACCGCGCCTTCTCTCTCTCAGGTGACTGAGTATAGATGGGTTTGCATAAATCTGAATACGATGTCACTTCACTAAAGCTATCTGAGTTCCTTCTATCTGAGGTCCCTTAAATCCTAAAGCAGGCTGAGAGTTTGCATATAGCACGTGTACGTGCACACACACACACACACACACACATCCATGCACACACACCCAGGGCATGTGTGCACACTCACACAGAGATGTTCATCCCTGAGCTCCATCATTAAGAATGAAGAAGCTGGGGTGTTGTGCATGTCTCTAATCTTAGCACTCAGGAGTCTGAGGCTGGATCAGACAGTAATCTGAGTAATCTGACAGGCTGGGAAGGAAAGCAAAGCCAAATAGAGTGAAAAGTATAATTTTATGGCAGATTCATTGTTGATGGATGCTTTTCATTTGCGCAAGCTGGGCTTGCTCCTGGCTGGGAAGCATGTGCCCTCCACCAGTGTAAGCAGCTACCCTGCTCTTTTTTTAAAAAAATTTTTATTTAAGGAGAAAAAGAAAAAAAAAAAAAAACAGAAAAAGGGTACAAGATATACAGAATTTCAGAAAGAATAAACAGTAGGAAGTCACCAGTTAATAGATTATACATTGTTATCTTAGAAATAGTTGTTCAAGTTACAAAATTAAAGCATATAAAGTGGACTTTCAAACAGTGAGATTGCAAACAGTTTTGTTCAATGATAAAACAAAACTCAGTAATACGGTTATCTATCTTATACACAAATATATATGCAGTTATATCCTTTAGAGCACTTTCTTTTCCTTTCTTTTGTACAATGACAATTACAAATTTTGGGTTTTATCATTCCCATAGTTCTTATTTTTTTTATTATTCCCATAGTTCTTATTCCCCTTTTTTTTGAAGAGAGTAAAACCAAATGTGACAAAACAGAACAGAGTCAGTCAAATTAAAAGGATGGACATAATAGATAATGTAAAAACAAAATACAAGGTGATCAACAATGGTTACCATACTGCCTCTTGTTATCTTAAAAAGAATTACCCCAGTTATAATAAAATTGAGCAAAACAGTGAAGAATAAAACCAAAACATTGGAGACATTACAGGACTTTAAAAGAAGATAATAGTCAACCAGAATGGGCATCATAATGAATCTTATTGTCTTCACAGTTGTTGCCTATACTCTCGAACTTGGTACTATCAAGTAAAACAGAATACAGGAAAATCAGTCAAAACAAGATGGTGAGGGCAATACAGGATTTCAAATCAAGTTAATAGGAAATCAAAGTGGGTTACTATAATGGGTGGGTTACTATCCTGCTATTTTTTATTTATTTTTCCCTTAATTAAGAAGATAAAAATAAAAAAGTAAATAATTTAAAAAAGGAGATTGAGATAAAAGAGGGCATAACAAAACAGCGCAGGTCAAAGCATAACCATTTAAGCAAAATAGTGTTTCACCACAAGATATCCTGACATAAAAGTAGTTACCATAGTGTCTCTTTCCTTGAAATCTTTGAGTATAACTTCGTATACTGTAGCACCTAACATATCAAGACAATGTAAAACCATTCAAGAGAATGACAGTATTACAGGGTATTTAGAACCAACTATCAGAAAATGAACAATGGTTTCTTTAAAATCTCCTTGTCTATAAAAGTTTTATTTATATTATCACATATAATAAAATCCAATAAGATACAACCTGTTAAGACTGATGGAGACAGAAGAATAAAAGCTTGATGGGACTTCAAACCAAGATGATACTAAATCAGCACTAGCTATTATGATGTCTTGCTTTCTCCAAAATAGCTGTTCCTACCATCCAATCTTCTCTGCCTCATTTCTGTTGAGCTCTTTTTCTGTCATTAGTTGTCAGTTTGTCTTCATTGTGCTTTCTACTCCATTCATTGTGGCCTCTCTGCCACTCTTTCTGGAATCTTGGTATTTTTCTTTTTTTAGAATGTCCTGCAGTATTCTCTGTAGAGTTGAATTGGTGGTTGCAAATTCCCCTAGTTCCTCTTTATCCTGGAAGCACCTTGTTTTTCCATCAATTTCTAGGGACAGTTGTGCAGGATATATCAATCTTGGCTGGAGGTTATTATCTTTCAAAGCTTGAATTATTTCCCCCCACGCTCTTCGTGATTTGATGGTTTGTGCCGAGAAGTCTGCTGTAATTCTGATGGGTGTTCCCTTGTAAGTGATCTGTTTCTTGTCTTTGATGGCTTTTAATATTCTGTTCTTATATTGGATTTCTGGAATTTTGATTATTATATGCCTGGGTGTAGCTCTGTTTGGGTTGTAGGTGGCTGGAGTCCTGTATGCCTCATATATCTGAGTATCTTTACCTTTTGCTAAATTAGGGAAATTCTCCTGGATTATTTCTGTGAGTAGCTTTTGTAGTCCATTTGTTTGAGTCCCTACTTCTTCTTTTATGTTCTTAATTCTTAAGTTATAGATCCTCTTATCATCTTCTAGTCTTTGTATTATTGCTGTTTGTTTTCTTATTTTTAAAAAGTTTTTCATTTCATGCTCCCCCATTACAAATCTGCCCTCCAGTTCAGATATCCTATCCTTAGTTTCTTTCAAGCTGTTATGCTAGCTTTTGATAGAGTTTTTAGTTTCCAGGTAATCTCTTTGAACCTGCTTCATGTATTCTATGTTTTCTCTATTTTCTCCATTAACCATTTCTCCCATTTTTTTCTGTTCTTCCATTGCACCATGTTTTTTCTTGGGCAGTTCTTAGTATTTCTCTAACTATTCTACTTATATCGAGTCTTTTTTTTTTTTTTTTTTTTTTTTTTTTTTTGTCTTTTTCCTTTTTATCGGTACCAGGGATTGAACTCACGACTGCCTGCTTGCAAGACAGGCGCTTATGCCACTGAGCTAAATCCCCATATTCTACTTATATCTTGCTTTATGTCGTTAAATACTTCTCTTTTGAACTCATCTATGAGGCTCCGGAGATATTGCTTTATGTCTACTGGTGCCGTGTCTGATATTGCATGTTTTCTTTCCTCATTCTCCTTTGCATTCACCTTTCCTGGATCAGTGTTCTCAGGATTGGGGACTGAGGACCCTTTCTTGCTCCTTCTTCTTCCCAAACTTTTTGTTCCTTCCATACAAGCAAATATAGGAGGCCCAGTTTTATTTTTTTCTCTTTGTTAAAGTTTGTTTGAATTGCGCCGGCTAGGTGTTCCCGCCCACTGCAGTGTACTAGGGAGACACAGACCTGGGCAGCCTCTGCTGGGCCCGCCCTCCAGGTCAAACTACCTAAGGCTTCACCGATAGGGTGCACCTCCAGGTGCTGGCACCTGGTTTGGGCTAGCCTACTGGGTCTTAGTCAGTGTCGTCACCTAGGCCAGGTACTCCCCACCAATCCTGCTTGAGAGGGAAATATGTGACTAAAGTTACTGCAGCGTCCTGTTCTGGCAAGTCTGCCCGGTTCCAGTATGTCCTTTGCTGAAGCCTCCTACTCTATGGAAGGGTCCCCGTTTTGCTCACTCACCACAGGTCGATGCAGGGCTCCCTGCCAGTCCCATTCTCAACTCCATTGGCCGATTCCCACTCTCAGAGTTTTTGTGTGTCTCTCTCCCTGCTGTGCCGATTTGGACGCAGCAGTGGTAGCAGGACATTCAAATTGCGGCTTCCAACCGCACAGGATCCAGCTACTGCGCTGAGATTTTATCTGTTCCTGTTATACCACCGGGATTGTGTTTCCAGTTGGTTTCTCTTAGCTTAGTTTATTCCTGGGACGGCAGGGTATATCTCCTCTTGCTTAGGACTCCTTGCACTGCCCCATTCCTGGATTCTAAGTGGGGTATCTCAGAGAGCCTCCGTAGCTGCTGCTATCTATTCACCATGTTCTCCTGGAAGTCCTACCCTGCTCTTTTTCAACCTATTTGTTCCCTTTTGCCTCACATGAATGACTTAAAACACTAAGTATAAGTTGTGGAAATTCCCATGCCGGGGTCACCTCTTTTTGGGAGAGAGCTGAGGCAGCTCCCTTCTGGTCCTGGAAACACTGTCCAGGAGGAGGCAAGAACCCAGTCCCACCCTGGGGAAGCCCAAGACTGTCAAAGAGAAGTGACTGGGAGTGGCTGTACACTGACACCTGCTCACGTGCACTGGCCCGGGTCTGTTAGCAGTGCTTTTCAGGGCATTGGTTCGCTCTGAATTGTGGTTTCCACCTCAGCTGTCTCCAGTGGGGAAGACATGCACAGTCCATGACAGCTGGGAGGCCCAGGGCAGCATTGAGAAGGAGGCGCTCAGTCTTCTTGGAGGATGGAAGAGGCCAGGGCTGGACTCTCCAGAATATGGCACCAGAACCAACATCAAAGCCCAGGTCACGTTTCCTCTGTCTTTTACTGTCGGTATTGGGAAGCTCTGGTATCCGGGTCTTGTTGACCTGGGAGCAGGGACACCTACTCCCAGGGCTGGCTGTTTCCAAGGGACAATAGAAGACTCAGCTGAGATGCTTCTTTCCCTCTTTTTTTAATCTTTTGACCCAGAGTTTCACTGTGTTGCCCAGGTTGGCCACGGACTCCCTATCTTTCTGCCTCAGCCTCTGAGTAACTGAAATCGTAGGTGTGGGCCATCTCATCTGGGTTGTGAGTGCTCCTTTCACAACCAACCAACCCAGGACCTGTGGCCCACCACCTCACTTCCTGCCCAATGCCCACTTGCCCTTATCACCCTGTGCTAGGCCCCAGTATGTAGAAGTCCGAGGCCTCAGATCCATCAATTTTACCCAACTCCTGAGCCTGCTTCCCCTGCCCACCTGTTCCTTCCATGGGAACGGCAGTCCACGTGCGGCTCACAGTCCCTCTTCCTCCCGCCTCCTGCCCCACCTGCCCACGTCCCTTTCTGGGCCCTGTGTGTGATGTGGCTCCCTCCTTTTGAGACCTGTGAGTTACCAACCATCTCTCAGTGGCAGTCCTCTCCTCACCTACTAGCCTTGTCAGAATAGTACGAGAAGCAATTTCTTTCCTTCTTCACTCAGTTTTCTGATCCCTCTAGAATGAGAAAATGGCTTGAGAGGAGGCCAACCTATTATTTTGACAAAATATCTGAAAGTGAACTTAAAGAACAAAGGTATATTTTGACTTATGGTTTCAGAAGAGTTAGTCCATGGTCAGTGGGCTTGGTTGCTTTTGGGGTCGAGGGGAATGGGACTAGAGGAGCAGAAAATGTTGCTTTTCATTATAAACTATTTTCTAGTGGACTCTTTTAACCTTATGCATGTGCTCCTTTGGTATGATTTTGAAATTCACAAATGAGTGTAAATTCCAGGCTGAGATGACATAAGCCATCCATGCATCTGGTGCTTTGAAGTCCTGGTCTGCCCCATTCCTAATGGCAGCCCTGACTGACTCCTGTCTTGGAGTCTGCACTTCTCTCTCACCCCCCACCCCATCTCACTTACACATCCCCCACTGGCCCCTCAGCAATGCTCTCCCCAGAGTGTGGTCATTCTGTGTTTTCTTCCCGCCTTCCACCAGTATCCTGGGAGAAACACTGATCATGCTTCCTACAGCCAGTGAGGGAAAGAAACAGCATGAAAGTAACTGAACAAAAGTTTCCACAAGGGTCTGTAATGTACATAAAGCTGTACTTCAAAAGCCAACATTATTCTAATTTTTTCCAGGTTTAATACTTTTGCTAGCTCCCTGCTGCTTACAAGATAAAATGCCTTCTGCATGACATGTAAGGCCTCCTCGATTCCATCCTCCCTACCCTTTTAGTAGTGTACGTGGGTAGGATCTTACATGGTTGCCAGTGGCTCATAAGCTAAAGGCGTGGCCACCAGCCTGGTGCTGTTGGGAGGCAGTGGGACTTTTAGGAGGTGGGGACTAGTGCGAGGATGTTAGGTCAATGGGGCGTAGCGTTGAGGAGAATGTGGGACCTCAGCTCTTTGTCCCTCTTTTTGTTTCCAGGAGGCCCTGAGGCGAACAGATTTCTTCCGTCACATACTTCTGTCTCACTACAGGTCCAAAGCAACAGGACCAGGTAATATGGACTGTAATCTCAGAAACTGCAGCCAAAATTAACCATTGTTCTTTATAAATTGGTTTTTCTCAGGGATTTTGTCACAGCAACCAATAGCCAAAAGGTATTACAGCACCCAACTCTCCAGCCCTTCTTATTTCCTGGCCAGTTCTTAGATACCTCTTTTCCCAGGTTCCCTTTCTTGAGACTTGGGGTCTGTTTGTCTCTTTTGAGAATGTCCTCTCTGTCACACTGCCTCATTTTGTAGGTTCCCCATCTGAAGCTATCCTAATTCCCATAGCCACAGCAAACCTGTACTGTGTGAGGTCTTAGAGTAGGCAGACAGAGTCTGTTTTCCACTGTCTCACACTACTAACCAGGCACCTTGCTGCTGCTTATAGAGTAACCACTACCCCAGTGTATGTAGGGTGGGTGCACAGTTTATCCCCTGGCTGTTCTAGAACATTGTATCCAACATGCATGCCCTCCTGTGTCTCCCATTTCTTGGTCACAGGGATGTGGATCTGACCTAACACCCTCATTTCCTTCATCAGCCAGGGTCTGAGGAGTATAGGCCAGGAAGAAATCTGCCTATCCATATGGCAGAGAGGCCGGATGTCTGACTTTCTCACGCACTGGACAGAAAAACGGCAGAACTCCAGGCACTGTGCGGAGTTGTGGGAGCAGAACACAACTCGGGGTGAGAGCAGCTCCTAGCACAGAGGGCAAAACTGTGGCTTGCCTGGCGCCTCCATGGCTTTGAGCTGCACACCCAGCTTGCAGAACAGTCGCTGAGACAGGTCAGCGTGGAGCTGTGGCCAGGTGTGGCTTTCCTCAAGGTGAAACAAGCCAGGAAGCGCCTCAGACACCCCTGTGAGCCAGCAACCAAATTTAGCCCACCACTTCCCTGCTGTATGGCTCAGGAGCCAAGGATACTTCTTACGTTTTTAAGAGGTTGTAAAAAAAAAAGTCCACGTTCAAAGATATGCAGCAGAGACCATTCAAAGCCCACACGGTCAGAATTAGTTACTTGCGGGTTCTCTGAAGAGGTTCATGGTCCCGTGCAACTTAAACATGACCCGAATGTAGCCTCACCTGTGTAGTGACTTCATTGTTAGCAGTCAGGGGCGCAGGAGTGCCCCAGGCTCCAGTCTCCAGCCACCACCTGCCCACAATGGCGTCCTGGGCCAGGGGCTGTCGGCTGCTTCCTGTTTTTTCACCTAACGTCTGCTGAATTAGGTCATCCTAGACCCCAGGCAGTTCTGTAATTCTGCGCATCTGTGGTCTCTGCCTTGTTCCATGTCCACTGCACATATTTCACTTCCAGGAGGACCTTGGAATAGCTTCAGCTGACTTATGATCAAGCAAGGAAGCCCGTAAGATCTTAGCTTCAGCGGTCAAGTCTCCAAAGTCTAGAAATGGGTTCTCGAGACTGGCAGCGTTAACTCAGGGTTTCCCAGATGAGCTGTGGTAAAGGACCAATGGATAAGCACTTCCATCAAATCAAATCAAATCAAAGAAGCTACTAGAAAAGTATAAAAAATAAAAAGTCCATCCACAATACAACCCTTTTGAATTACTCCATGTGTCAGAAATCATCAGAGCGGTAGCCTTCCCCAGGTCTCTGCTAGCCCTCTGCACGCTGCTTCCCACTTCCTGCCTGGGCTCTATGCCGGCCTGGCCCGGCCATTGCGTGCAGCACCGAGAGAGGACAGCGCCTCTTGCTTGCCCGCTCCCAGGGGAGGTATGGATGGCACACTGCACAATGTCCAGTAGGCTGGAGGGTGTAACTTAGGATCTATAGGCATCGGGAAGTTTACTGACCTATTAGAGGATGTTGGGCTTTGCATCCTGTGTACATCACATCTAATTAGAAAGACAATCAGGGAAAGGTGGCACTTTGTTGTTTTTGAGTAATGTTGGTGTAATAAACATAAAATTTATCTTGACTTTGGCCAGGGCAAGATGCCCTCAGGACAGCAGCCCTTATTAGTGGGAATGAGCTGGGCCCAGTTTGGTGGCTGTGAGGCGAAGCCAGGGGCCCTCAGTCCTGTGGGGAGGAAAAAGGAGGTGCTGAGAATATGTCCTTTGCACAGGATACAGGGAAGGCAGAAAGAGGGGAAGAGACCCAGAGACCAGACAAGGCTGTCAGGACCAGGAGATGGAGCTGAGAGCTACCTGGCCAAGAGTCGCCAGCCTGCATTAAGGCCAGCCCGTGTTACTCAGAGCAAGGCAACTATGCTCTTCGTAGGATCAAGAGGGATCCTAGATCAGAAGACAGAGTTCTTCACAGCTGTAATTCCAGCATTTTGGGAATCTAAGGCAGGAAGGCCACAATTTTGAGCCCAGGCAGGTCAACTTAGCAAGACTCTGTCTCAAGCTAAAAAATAAAAAGGGCTGGTAACTCAGTGGGAAGATCCTTGGGTATGACCCCCCAAAAAGGACCCTGATCTTCTGGAACATGTTTGTCCCGGCCTGCAGGTAAGTCCATGGAGACCCTAGAGGGGGAGTGGGGATGAGAGGGGACAAGAGACGCGAAGAATGGAGACAAATCAGAAATCCAATCAAGTCTCATTTATTCAAGGAAAAAGTAACAAATAAATAGGGTATTGGGGGAGGAGGGTGTTGGCTTCTGAGACGTCAGCAGATAACTTAGCAACTGTGGCAAGACTGAGGGTTATAGGTTAATTCAAATTTCAAATTTCCCGTGCTCATAAGGCAGGCTGATTAGCATAATCCCTTAATGAGCCAAACAGGCTAGGCAAGGAGCTGCTTAACTACCAAACTTAACTCCTAGAGGGGGTTAAGGTGATGCAGCCTGTAGAAATAAGGTGGCAGCCAATTACAGGGCTTCCCACACGTTTTTTTTTTTTTTTTTTTTGTCTTTACACTTTTTATCGGTACCGGGGATCGAACTCACGACTGCCTGCTTGCAAGGCAGGTACTTATGCCGCTGAGCTAAATCCCCAGCCCCCCCCCCCCACGTTTACAAGGACATCTGTGGTCACAAAGGTCAGACACAGCTGTGGGAAACCAGCTTCAAGGAGCAGTTCTCGACTTTGAGGAGACAGGCTTGAGTTCACCTTGCTGTAGGGCCCTCCCTGTCCCTGGGAGACAGCAGAAGGCGGGGGCATAGGAGAGCCGAGAACTGGCCCAGTGTCTAAGGCCACCATTCTTGGAGGCCCAGGAAGCCTGAGCAACGCGTTTAACCAGCTTGAGCTGATGGTGCGAGTCAACACTGGGTTGATAAAGACAGAAAGAAATGTGACCTTTTTTGCTCAGCTATTGGTGGATTTAAAAAGTAGAAAACGGGATTCTCTGAAATTTGTCACTAAAATGACCAATTCCCCTTCAACTTTGTTTCTACTGTAAACTCATTTCAGTCTCAAAAAGAAATAGTTTTGGGTTTCTCAGGACAAAAGCCCAGAAGTACTCTGACACTGTTTCCTTCTCTAGAATTCTGGGCCTTAGGCAGGGTGAGCCCAGGGTCCCCTCCCGCGTGTTCTTCATGGTCCCCGCGTGACGGGGGGGGGGGGGGGGCTGCGTGTTCCAGGGCAAGGAGCTGTCCCTAGCCCAGGGCTAAGGAGCCGGCGCTGGGGACCTAGCAGGACCCATTTCACTCACACTGTCTACGGCTCTGGCCGCGTTGTCTCAGAAGGCCCATTTCTCATCAGCTTGAAGGTTTACTGTACACGCAGGGCTCCTCAGTGACTCAGTTTCTGGGCCCCCAGCAGGAAGTCCCGCCACAGAATTCCTGCGGAGGCGGCCAAGCAGGCCTGACCTCCCCTCCACCCAGTGGGAGGCAGATGGGCTGAGTCTTTCCAGAGCTCTTAATGAAATCAAGATTCATGTGCTCCCTGCACAAATATAAAACTGGATAGGAGGAAAACAAAGTGATGCAGCTATAACAGCTCCATCTCTGTGACTTGTAAATACAAGCAGCAGGAAGCCAAGTATCTGGTAAGAGGCTGCCTTCTGCATGGGTGGAGGCCAAGGGGAAAAAATCAGTCTAGAAAAACAATGTTTAACCAAGTCCTATCTTGAGACAAAACTGAAGAGGGAATGTAAGAAGTCTGTTTTGACACAGGCCATTTCCAAACTCAGCCCTTTAGATATTGTCAGGAAGAAAAAAGTTTCAATTCACGTAAAGATAATTTAGACTGCACAAACAAAGCAGCTGCAAAATACTACAAAGATATTACAAAATGTTTGCAAAAAGATTACAACTTCTGGAGGTTTACAGAAGGTTCAGAATCCTCAGACATCATGGCTCAGTTGTAATCTACACATTTAAAAAAGCTTAGTAACAGTTAATATGTAGGTACCTATGTGTTTTAAAAATTTCAGAGAACACAGTTACAGCTCCCCCAAATTTTTTACCTAGCCTGTGGTTTTTTTTTTTTTTTTTTAACTTTCTTAATAATGTCTTTTGAAAAGCAGTATTTAAAAATTTTGATACAGGGGCTGGGGATTTAGCTCAGCGGCGTAAGCGCCTGCCTTGGAAGCAGGCAGTTGTGAGTTCGATCCCTGGTACCGATAAAAAGGAAAAAGACAAAAAAAAAATTTTTTTTTTGATATAGTGCAGTTTGACAATCTGTTCTTTCCTGGGTTGTACTTTTTCATACTGGTTGTAACTAATCTCTGGCTCATCTGAGATCACACGTATTTTCTCTTATGCTTCCTTTTAGATATTTTGTAGTTACAGGTTTCTACATTAAAATCTATGATCCATGTTGTCATTGTTTTGGACTCACTGTTGTCTTTGTTTCTGGTTTTTCTTGTAATCTGTTTTGTTTTGTTTCTCCCTCTTATACAGAAGGGATAGATGTATGCGTATAAGCTTATACATGCCTAGAACTTATCCTAAAGAGTTTACAAGAATTGATTTTATTATATGTAAGGGTATACTAATTTTTCAGCTTCTTTGAAGAAAATGAGACATTATGGTAGCCATTGCTGATTTCCTATCATCTTGTTATGAAGTCCAGTAATGCTCTTTATTTTGGTTTTAGTCTGTTTTGTATTATTTAACTTCAGCATATGTAAATGCTATAGATAGCTATTTCAAAGAAAACAAGACATAATGGTAACCACTGTTGATTTCCTGTTGTCGTTTTGAAATCCTGCGTTGATGTTTTTTGTTGGTACCGGGGATCAAATTCACAACTGCACGCTTGCAAGGCAGGCACTTATGCTGCTGAGCTAAATCCCCAGCCCATGTGTTGATTGTTTTGTTCTGATCTTCTTTGTTATGTTTTATTCTTTAAAATAAAAAAATAAGAAAACAAATCTGTAACCTTCTTTAGTTTTTTATGTTACAGCACGTAGATCCACGTTATTTAGGGGAGGTACATAAACAGCGATCCCAACACCATTTGCTGAAGTACCTTCCTACGGTGTTCCTCCACATCTTTGCCAGCAGCCAGGTCCCATATACAGTGGGTCTGTTTCTACGTCCTTTATTTTGTTCTACCAGTCTATTAGTTGACCTTGATACCAATACCTTTACTGTCACTTTATAATAGTTTTTGCTAACAAGAAGTATGAATCTTCCAGCTCCTTTTGGCTATTTTAAGTCCTTTACCTTTGTATGAATTTTATAATCAGCTCGTCCATTTCAATAATGGATTTTGCCTAGTACTGCACTGAAATACAGATCCATTGGGGAGCTGATATTTTTATAATCTGGAGTCCTCTGACTCAGACATAAAGCTTATCTACTTACTTGAAGACTAATTTTTCTCAGTAATATTTTCAGTACACATGTACAATGGTTTAAATCACATTCCTTCTGTCTCCTGCCACCTGCAAAGACATACCCATGTGGCAATTGGAAGGGCCTGAAATTGTGACCTTATTTAGCAAAAAAGACCCCTGCAGATGTGATTAAGGGGCCCAAGATGAGATGATCATGCTGAGTTATCTGGGCCTTAAATCCACAACCATTCTTAGCAGGAGGGAGGGATTTTAAGAATAAATATCCCAAAGCCCCAGATCCCCTTCAGGGCCACATCCCTAGTACCCTAATTTCCTTCCAGGAGCCTCCACCTCCTGGAGGTTCCCCTCGGCTGCCCAGCACTGCCACAAGCTGGAGGTCATTCCCTCAGCCCATGGGCTTTGGGGGAACACTTAAGAGTCAAACCACAGAAATGCTGTTGTTTTCACTAACTTTTTTGTTTTGCAATAGTCATTTTTCATAAAGATATTTATGTTAATAAGTCCTGAGTAAGTAGGCTTGTTCACTTCCCTCCTTTCCCTCCTTTTCTTTCCTTTTGTCTGTCTCACATTTTTTTTTTTGAGAGAGTCTTGCAATGTGGTTCAGGATGGCCTTGAACTTGCAGTGATCCTGCTTCAGCCTTCTGAGTGCTGGGATCACAGATATGCATGCCTGGTTTATTCTATTGTTTTAAAGTGAATTATTTTAGAATTTGTTTTAATTTCTGATATACAAATACCAACAAATAAAATCTCTTTTAGAAGAGAAAAAGAGTTCTGGACAAAGTTAGGACTGCTGCAGTAGAAACCCCTGCAGGGTGTGTATGTTTTATGACCTTGCTGACTTCCTGTCTAGTTCTTCTAACAGCTGACAGTGGGATGCTAAAGTCCCTAGCTCTGTTTTTGGATTTCTCTAGTTCCCCTTTCAGCTGTTATCAGTTTCTGTATGTTGAAGCTTGTTATTTGGTGCTTATATATTTATGATTGTTTTCTATGTCTGCTGGAGTGATCTTTTCATTGTGTAATGTATAGTCATTTCCATTGGGCAGTTCCTCATGAACAGGAATGAAAACATTCTCAACAAACTACTAAAACACTCCAGTTAACAGCATTTTAAAAGAGTTATACACCCTGACAAAATGGTATTTCTTCTAAGAATATAAGGATAGTTCAATATTCAAGAACCTATGTACTTCATACACATTACAGAGCTAAGGGGGAAAACCTCCATGTGGTCATCTCAATTGATACAGAAAAAGCATTTGACAAAATTCAATTCCATTTAATTACAGAAACACTCAACAAGCTGGAAATGGAAGGAAACTATCTTTAAAAACAACAAAAAGCTGAGCATGTAAACTTTGGCCAAAAGCAATGGGCTGGTGTCTAAGGGCTGCTTTTTGCCATCAGAGGAGGCCAAGTTGTCACTAATATGAAGATTAACTCCCCCGAGCCCTATTATAGTGGTCTTTGTCCATCCATGACAGCAGAGTCCTCACACCCTGAACATTTAAGAAGTCCCCTGCTACACAGCTGCTCTGGGAACTGTTTCTAATACATGAAATTTGAGCAGAGTATCAAACATTCAGATCACCATGTTCCATCCCTGGCTCCCCAAAATCCATATTGTCCAATGCAAGATATATTCACTCAAGCCCAGTAACCCCAAGAGTCTTGACTCTTTTCAGGATCAACATCTAGTCCAGTTTTATCTAAATCAGATATAGCTGGCACTCGAAGCATGACTCCTCCTGAGGCAAACTGCTCTTTAGCTATGGACCTGAGGTCTAATGTTTCCCACTTACACAGTATCATGGTGGATGGGCATAGAATATCTTCCTGTTCCAAAAAGGAGCAAGAGAAAAGGAATAGTAACAGGTCTCAAGTAAGTGTGGAACCCAGCAGGATAGACATTAATTACATTTTGAGGGCTGTGATTAATCTTGACTCCATGTCCTCTCTCCACACAGGCTGCGAGGGCGAGGGTCAGACATGTGTCCCACAGATTTGAGAGGTTTGGCATGTGCAATGGCTTCCTTGGGCTGGAGTTTCATGGCTGCAGCTGCCCCGGGTGGTACTGTGTGCTGGTGGCTCATAGTTCCAGGTCTCAGGGGCAGCCCTGCTCCCACAGCTCTGCCAGGCGTTGTCCTAGCAGGAAACTCTAAAACCACGTTTGAAATCCAGGTAGAGGAAGCCACACCTTTATAGAACTGGCACTCGATTAGCTCCCCGTGAACCCTGCCAAAACTCATTGCTTGTGTCCTTGGGAGCAGTGGCTCAGCCTGGATCTGTCTGAGTTACCCCAGGGTGGATAAGAAGCACTAGAGTGTGAAAGCAGAGGCTTGAGGTGACTCTGGGCAGCAGACTCAGAGGTCTCACAGGCAGCCTGGCCTCCTTCTGAAACTTTCCTCCTCCAAGGCCCTAGGATTCTGGGTTTGTGACAGGTATGGCAGCCTGGAAACCTCTGAAGTATCCCTCTGCTTTGATGGACAGCACTTGTTCCAGGAACATTCAGCTTAATATTGTACCATATGAAGTGGCCAGTTACTTGACAGGTTGTTACTCCCCAAAATGGATGTGGGTCAGTCTAACCTTTGCTTTTAAGAAGAGAAAGACAATTGTTATGGTTTGGATTTTGATGTCTCCCTGAGCCTCATGCAATCATGGGGGGGGGGTGTAAAGACCCCTGAATCCAGCATTCCTGATTGGTTCATTGTTCAGCACTGGGATTGGCCGTGTGAGTGCTGCACCTGTCCAGGGATGGGGAGCCAGCAAACAGTGTGAGGAAAGGAAACAGGCATGCTTTTCCCTTTGCTCTTGTTGCTTTTGGTACCTGATGCCACCATAAACAGGTGCCCCTCTGCCATGTGCCACTGTGCTTTAGTCCAGCTGAGTATGGACTGAAGCCTCCAAAATACTGTAAGCTAAACAAACCTTTCCTTCCTTCATTTTGGGATTCAGCTATTTTGTCTCAGTAATGAGGAAAAAGTAATTAAGACAACAATGAAAAGGCAATTCACTAAATTACAGCAACTGGGACAGGTAAGAAATCTAATAGGTAGGCAAGGCATCCTAAAAATGCAACAGCTACTCCAAACAGGTAAGTTAATGGATAAAACATTTTATTTTAGTCAAGAACAGTTAAGAGGCAAGGCTTAACAATTTTTTCTCATTATATAGATTTATAGGGGAATCCATTAAACTTTTGCTAACGACAGATTTCACGATATTTAAATCTGACTGGGATGTTTATTATTCCTAGTGACTGGATGGCTTAGAATGAACACTTGCGGGGCTGGGGATTTAGCTCAGCGGCATAAGCACCTGCCTTGCAAGCAGGCAGTCATAAGTTCGATCCCTGGTACCAATAAAAACAAAAAAGACCAAAAAAAAAAAAAAAAAAAAAGAATGACCGCTTGCCAAGCTCCACTACTGGCCAGCTATATGGCAATTATTTATGTCACCTTATTATCAGTATTGAGCTAATCAGAGATCAGCTATGCCAAAGAGCACAACTAACAAAAATAAGGCACCACTGAGGAACACTTTTGAATTTTTCTCCTGCCATTTTATCTGTAAACAATTTTCAACCATCTAGCTCCCTTAAGTATTACACTAACCTGGGATCCCAGTCATAAAAATAAAAAACACCAAAGGGGATATTCTTTATTTGCTTGCGCTGCAAATATACTACAGCTTGCTAATTTGGAAGAACAACAGAGTACTCTGCAGTAACACAGAGCCGGCACAGCCTTCTCCAGAGGACAAAGCAGCGCTATTCCTGCTGACACTGTGGCCCCCAACCCTTTCCAGTGCTGTCCTGACTCTAGGGCTGAACGAGACTGAGGTCCCCAAGAGTGCTCCTGGCTGAGCGGTCCACGGGGTGGTGGAGTCCCTTATGAGCGAGAGGGCGGGTGCAGTCGGGCAGCCCATCGGACTTGTGTCTTCCATTGTATAAATAATTCTCTCAGGGGAGAGAATGCAGATGGTTGGCCAATGATAAAGTGTGCTCTTGACCTTCTGCTAAACTGAATTTTGCAACCCTAAAACTGCTCCCGATTTTTGGGGTTTCTAGTCTCTGGGCACCTCCATCCATTCAAAGGTAGGAAGGTAGGAATCTTGTTGGCCAGGAGATTTTTCTCTACCACTCTTAGAACTCACTTTCGATCCTTGGTCACTTTAAACCAAATGAAGATGGATTGGGGGCTAACTAGAGCCTGGCGAGCTGACTATTTACTCCCAACTTCCGGCCGTCAGGAAAATCTGAGGACAACCCTGTCAGTGGGGTATGCACCATGCCCAAGAGCATTAAAGTAAAAAGGTATAGGACCAGAGTTACAGGTTGTTCCTTTCATTTTTATTTAAATAAATACAATGCTTGCATGAACTACACAGTCTGACCAGCTCTCCCTTCAGGTTTGTGTGTCTGAATGTTCAGGCATGCAGTGCTGTGCTCCACAACACAACACTTCTCTAACTGGAACAACTGCTTCAGAGGCAAAGGAAAATAGCTGGCTTTCTGGTAACAAAACAAAACAAAACAAAACAAAACAAAACAAGAGCTGGCCTAAGAGCTATGGTGGTGCAGTGCATGTATGTTAATAGATATACAAACTTTTTGGTAAAATCCTGCATTTTTAACATACCTCTATATAAAATACAATTGTTTCCTCTTCGTTCCTATGCTAGCTAGGCACTTGAAAATGAAACATTTCAGAGTGGGCAAATCATAACATTCACTGGGTTTGATTTTTCCCAAACAGTGTGGAAGAAAATGACATTGCCCTTTGCCATTGGAGTTCGTGTGAACAACTCAAACATGACTTCAAACATTTTTGAAGTATCTGCGCATAATTCACAAAGGCATGTGTTGGAGAAATTTCATTTTCCTGTGTTAGTCTTATTTCCCCTGAAATTCCATCTTGAAATTAAGTAGCAGCTTCTTCAGTGTGAAGTTGGTCTGATTATTACAACCTTTACTGAAAATGCTACTTTCCTTTCTCCGGCATGGCCAAGGCTACTTCCATGTTATTTACTTAAATAAAAGTTATGGCTTCAACTGCTGTGTGATCGTTTGGCTGCAAGGACTGACTTGGGGCAGGCATCCACTCTCCCTGCAGCTAGGTGAACACAACCGGGGCATCCATGTAAAAACTGTAATTCTCCTAGTAAAAAAGCAGTCAAAACGGGCAGGTGAGTCTGTGGAACGGCAGACGTGGCACGGCTGCTCCTGAGATGCCCTTCCCCACCTCCCTCCAGTCTGGGCTGCTCTGGAGCCCAGAGGGAGCAAGGCTGGCACAGAGCCCTACCCATGAGCCACCGGCTGTCCTTGCTTTGACATCGTTGGGGACCAAGGCGAGCAGGGGCCCACACCGCCTGCTTCTGACCCCTGATTGTCTGGGGGTCCAGCTCAGCAGCAGCTCAGGGTGTGGGGATTAAGGCCTGGGGGCTGAAAGCTGCCCCTGCCTGCTGTGACAGCCCAGGCTGGAGTTGTCTAGAGTCTACTTTCTACAAGTAAAAAACCCTGACCACTTCATGGGCAGTCCACTAAAGGAAAACTAAATCGCTCCAAAAAGGATACACTTTGAAACCCTTTGTCACATTTATAAAAAGAAAAAAAGTCCAAAACCTTTCGAAGTTTAAAAAAATCCTTTAAAAATGTATCACTAGCCTCCTTGGTAACAAATATAAAACATGTTAAGACACATGGTGACTCTCTCGGGTCAGGTGTCCAGGGCTGTACTACACAGCAGGGTTTCACTACTACCGTGCTCTGTTTGGTAGAAGCTCTAGGAAGAGTTCCATCAAGAAAATAATTGTTTTGAAAGGAAAATGTCAAAGAAATGTCAAAGAAAATAAAGATGTAAACACCAAATACTTAAAATGTTAATATAGTATCATTTCACTTAAATAAATAAAAGTGGCACCAACTTTATGGCAATTTTTTCAAGACTAAGTTGTGGCTCAAGCTACTTTAAAACAAAGAACAGCTCTGAAAGGAACGGTGTTTCTCAGCACAAGCCAACAGTATTCAGAGTACAGTGCCATGAGAAGCAGCAGCGCTATAGCTTCAGCTTATTCACACACGGGCAGAAACGCTATTGGGTCTTTAGGTCCAAAATATTCCTGGTGCGGAGAAAGTCAGCTTCATGAGAGGCCAGGTGTGGGACTATCTTTTGCCATTTTTCTTTTTTCTTCCAATGTGTGCTTAAATATTTTCTTCAGGGTGTTGTAAACTATTGGTCCATTTTCAGAATCGAAATTCACCTGGTGATAAAGAAAATTTCTATTCGGGGCACTGTAATATGTATACATTTTAATCAGCTTCTTATTTGGGTACGAGAGGTGGGAAAATACAAAGACATATGAACAACATTGTGTATAATTTAAACTGGGCATGATGGGACATACACAATGCCAGCCCTTGGGAAGCTGAGGCAGGAGATCACTGCTGAGTTTGAGGCCAGCCTGAATTGCACAGTGAGACCTTGTCTCCAAAAAAAATACATATAATAAATTCCATGCATTTTAATTAAAAATGCATTACAACTGTTAATCTTGTTAATATCAGACTAATGAATAGTCAAAAAATTAAATCTAGTGCCTGGACGCTGAGCTCAATTATGTACATCTAAAACCACGGAGAAAGTTACCAGCGAACCAGTGGCCGTGAAGAGCATGTCTAATCTACACACAATCACTGATGATGTGGGCCAAGCGCACCACAGTGAGCATAGTGCAGAGAGGCCCAGGTCCCTCTGGACCAGTGCTGGAGTGACCTGAGCGCTGACCGAGTCTACGTGCTGGCTGTGTACCCCGTTTCATACCCAATCTCTGTGGGCCTCAATTTTCTCCTCTCTCAAGCAGAGACTGCAACGCCCACTGCCTCAGGGTTTTGAGAGAGTGAACGAGATCTGGCACCTACGGGCATCGGACATGTATTGTGCACATAAAAAGCCCAGAAAAACCACTATTCTCCCTCCTTGCTGGCAGGGTGCTGTGTACAGACAGACTCTCTGCCCAGGCTGCTTCGCTGTGGGTGAGCTGACGAGCTAGTCAGCCAGCTTCTGCCCTGGAGAAGAGTGCTGCCTTTATTGCATAGGGGGAGGAGAACCCTGACACCTGTTCCGCAGCAGAGGGGTCAGAGTCTTGGTCACCAGGCAGCGTGGCTGTGGGATGCCATTCATCATCTCTGACAGTTTCACAGGAGGGGTTAACAGGAATTGAACTCAGAGCTTCGCCCATGTGGGGCAGGCATTCTACCACTAAGCTACCATGCAGTCCATTTAAAAAAATTTTCAAGACAGGATCTTGCTAACCTACCCAGGCTGGGTTTGAATCTGTGATCTACCTGCTGTAGCCTGCCAAGTAGCTGGGGTCACAGGTATGCACCACTATGACTCACTTCAATTGTATACTTTACCACCAACCCACAACCCTCCTCATGTCAATGGGTAGGAAGGCAGCCTCTCAGTCTATGAAAAAGTAACACAGATACAAGGGACCGAATGACTGGCCTTGAGACTGCTGACTGGAAGCTACAGAAGACAGCCTCAGAAGATATAGTGTGCCAGTGCTGTAAAACCGTGAGGAAGAACAAGGGGCCTGAACAAGGACACCACCTGGGAGAGAGTGAAGGGGAAGCAACAGAACACTGCAAAGCAGGGACCTTTACAATGACTATAATGATAACTGCACTGTCATCAATGCTACGGCACATGTCACAGGTTCGTTAGTAACATTTTTACATCGCATGTAACAGACAACACATCAGGTCAATGATTGGAGGGAACATTCTCCCTTGGCAAGAGCTGGGCTCTTTCTTTGGCTGCAGTGGCTGTAAGCCCAAAGGTCATGCACAGAAAGGAAGCGTTTTGTTTACCCTGTGCGTAGGACTCGCTAACCGTATGCAGCGCCAAAGTGGCTATGCTGGCATTTAACTCTCAATAGACGGTTTCTTGTTTAAGCCCAAGGTACAACTGGCTCAAAAAGAAAATGTTCAGCCTCCCACTGGATACTGGCTTAAAAATACTTACCCAGAATGCAATCGTTCCTCTCTTCTTCTACATAAAAAGTCTTTGTTGCAGTGTTCTCCATCAGAAAACCCACACAGTTCAGCATTTCCTGATATCACTGGAAACTTACTCTTTGGGCCCAAACTCAGCAATTACTTAAAAGAAATGCTGAACGCATCACCACCAAAGGCAAACAGAACTGTTTCAGAAGAGGTAGTTGCCTTCTGGAGTCCTGATTTACACAGATGATGCTGATTTGTGTCACGCAGCAAGGCAGCAGGGCGTGACTCACCTTAGTGAAAGCTTTGACAGCATGAGCGAGGCACGCGTCCTCCACCTCCATGGGGATTGCCTGTAGCTTCACGATGCAATGCAACACACAAAGGATAGTCTGATGCTGCCCCTGTTTTTGCAGAAATCAAAATAAAAAAAGTTGTCTTAAAACTGGCTCAAGAAATTAACTCAAACACAGAGTAAGTAGTTGAAACCTGGGACTCAATCTCTGATGCTAAAATATCTCCCCAGAACTGTACCAAGTGTTTCCTATGGCAATACAATCTGAAAACCTTTTAGGAGAAAGTACCAAAGTGTGTTAGTTTCTACATAAATTATGATTGAATCTGATGTTTCTCCTGCAGGACGCTGAATGGCTTTTCCCCTTGTGCTGTTTGTGGGCACAATCATTTCAGGTCCACTGGCTGAGGCGGAGACGTTACCCCAATTGTAGCAAGTGCTGTGGAGGAGGGTGGGGGAAGGGACAGGCTGACTCCCCACAGCACTGCAGTACTTAGGATGGCAGGGGCTGACCTGCCAGGGTGACCACAGAAGGGTGAGTTTACAAATGAGACCGCAGGAACCTGTCCATCTCAGCAGAGGACAGACTCTATAACTGTGCCGTGGACACCCAAGACACACATCTAAGCCATCACCCACCATGACGCATTCATTCCACTCTGGAAAGCTACTCCAAGAGCACAATCTGAAACACAGAATAATCTGTAAGCATATGTGACAATCACTATGATACTTGTAAAAGACAAAAGACCTAAAATAATGCCAACGCCCTCTTCAGAGATGCTAAAGTGACTTAGGAAAAATAACATGACGTGACAGTGTGCCTGCTAGTGCCAGAGGATCCGAGTCCGAATTACTCTGTGACAAGTGCCCCGAATTTCAGGCAAACCATGTCACCTTGCCTCATCTATAAACTGCATCATCTGTCTCTAAGCACCAGCAGGATGAACAGAGGTGAAAAGAGAGCTGGTCCTTTCCTGTCTCCTTCTATTCTACCTCTGTAACAACTGCTGAGAGAATGGTGTAAGAACGAGAGCCAGATACAGGAAAAACACTCTCTTAAGAGATGTGTGTTGGGGCTGGGGATTTAGCTCAGCGGCGTAAGCGCCTGACTTGCAAGCAGGCAGTCGTGAGTTCGATCCCTGGTACCGATAAAAAAAGAAAAAGACAAAAAAAAAGAGATGTGCGTTACACAACTGTATGTGTGTTCCCATGGGTGTATCTAGTGCACACTGTGTTGAGTATGTATGGTGACATCTTTAGCGAAGCTTGGAAGTGACACGCTGTATTGCAGCACAGGAGGTAACTCGACAACATCGTTTCCTAAGGGGAAACAAGGCTGATTTTTAGTTGCAATTTGGTATCTTCTCTATATGATTAAAAATACTAACTTACATGACCCCTGGTGAAAAGTAAGGCTTTTTTCCTTCCTAGAAGTCCTACAGCCCCTCCCTTAAGCTAGCTACCATCAGCTTCTTACTTTTCTTTCTGCATTCTTTTGTATTTTATACATATATAAATCATGCATGTCTATACCTCACTTTAACACCACATCGGGTTCTGACCTACTGCATTGCTTTTCATGTGTCCACACTTGCAGTAACGAGTGACACAGGGCTGTGTGTGCTCAGGGCTCATGGACTTGCTCGGCACGCGAGGGGCTCTGGGTTTGACCCCCACTGCCGCTTTGCCCCAATATACTCAGATTTCTGAGAAGTTTACACTATTTGTGGAAAAACAGCAAACTGTTGAGCAAAAATGAAGTATAAATTTACATGTTAAAATGATTTTTTACCAAGTTAAAAATATGTACTGATAAAAGATTTGAAAATGTTCTCCCAGGATTGTACATATGTTCTTTTGGTATTTTCTTAATGTTTATGCTCTGTATCAATTTCTCCTACATCACTCTGTGTATGCGTGTACGGTGCTAGATGATTCACCCCAAAACCCTAGGCAAGTGCTCTACCACAGACCTTGGTCACCAGAAGCCTCAATGTCTTTTTGGGGTGTGGGGGGGCTGTACTAGGGATTGAACCCAGAGTCTTCACTCTGAGGTGAAGATCAAATGAGACAAGATCAACTGCTTGCTAAGTTTCCCAGGTTAAGCTTGAACTTGTGATCCTCCTGCCTCTCAGCCTCCCAAAGTGCAGGGATTACAGGCCTTTGCCACAGCATCCAGCTTTAACTTCTTCTCTTAGTCTGAAAAAAGCTATTAAGTTAGACCTAGATATGAGAGTCTCTGTCATAATGTTTTTTTTTAAGTGTGTGACATTTACATCAAGAGCCTTAAGTGCATTATCTGGCCCCACACTCCTTTACCTTCTCTAATAAGAACAGGGCTTCAGCAGCATCGGCCTGTCTGTCCACCAACATGTCCACATCCTCCTTAGTGAGCACAGGTTCCTTCAGCTGCTCCACCCAAGACCACATCAAGCCACACAAGATGAAAGGGTCTCTTTCACCACATATCCTTTCCCAGGCTCCGTCTCGGGAATTTAATTCTTTCTAGAAAGGCAGAGAGAGAGAGACCTGCTGGAGCAGGGAGGAGACAGAAGCACCAGACTGACACCTGGGAATGCCCGGCCCTCGGCTTTGTGGCTGCGACACTGGCTAACTTGGGCACTTCTGCAGCCCCGAGCTCCCTCGGAGGGAGGTGGAAGCTCATGCCCTGCCTACTGGGGGTTGGCTGACCACTTGGAGAAGGGCTGCAGAACCCTGAAGCCTGCACAGACTTCATTCAGAAACCAGAGGCAGTGCAGCAAGGGAAGGCTTCCTTTTCAGGCTTCTGGTAAACAGAACAGAAATACTGATTAAAGTACAATGGTAGAGGAAACATTTATAAATCAACCTAGGATCTCAGGCAAAGCTTTTGACTAAAACTTCAAAGTGCATTTTTAAAAAAAGTGCTGGCAAGGGCTGGAGATTTAGCTCAGTGGCACAAGCACCTGCCTGGCAAGCACGAAGTCATGAGTTTGATCCCCGGTACCAAAAAAAAAGTGCTGGCAAATTGGTAAATGTATTTCTTCAATATACCTTAGAAACCTATGTACAATGTATCAAAGAACAAGTCCTGTTTCCTGACATTTGCTATGGTGAAAATAACTGGGAAGTCTTTAACAAAATACCCCAAATACCCAGAGACAGCATTAAGCATGAGATTTTAAATAGGGTGGGGACAAAGTGAGAAGAAAACTTTAATTCATTTCTCATGGGGATTAGAATCACGTTTCAGTACATCAAACACTTTTATAACAGTAATTAGTGTAGTAATTGTTTCCATTCATTCACCCACTCAGGATTTGTAGCACGCTTGCAGCAAACTAGAAAATATGATCCATGACTTCTGTCTTAACTTTCACAGCAACTTGCAAGGAGGCTCCTCACTGATAAAAGTGAGAGAGAAGGAATAACTCCCTGGAAGCCAAAGCTAGGAACTGGCAGGTGCGGCACTGTACCCACACTGCCTCACTCTAGCTATATCTGCTGTGCCCAGGGACCTCCCACTCCCCTGTGCCCAGTGTCTCATTGTCCTCCCAATAAGGTAAGACTTCTAGCTGACTGTATTTGTTCCCATTCTACCAGTCATGTATGTAACAGGATAGCTTTGGACTCAATTTTATGTAGCTAAAAAGGAGACAAGCCAGCAGAAAACTCAAAACCACCTTTGAGTAAATGATACTTTAACTACAGTGCTTCCTGAAACTTTCCAGGGAGGTAAGGCAGACTTAGGAGGACAATGGAAAGAAACACACAACCCAAGCGCCTGCCTTGCAAGCAGGCAGTCGTGAGTTCGATCCCCGGTACCGATAAAAAAGGAAAAACACACACACACACACACAAAACAGAAAAGAAACACACAACCTATACCCTGGCTCTGCCACACTGCCTATGACCTTGAGCAAAAATCACTCAACTTCCGCAACCCTTAGCTTCCTCGCCTGTGATGCTGAATTCGTAAGACGAGCAAGGAGTCTATAAATGGCATCGTCTGCCTCACAGGACTAGTGTGAAAATCACACCATGTAATGCATTTGAAAGGGCCTAATACAGGCAGAGGTGACATCAGACTATTCAAATAACGTTCATTGTACTTTCTTCCAGAATTCAATTGATTTTTTTTTTAAAGTGGAAGACCTAAAATAAAACCCAGAAAGGAAAAACAAATAGTGGGGGTCATAGCTCAGTTAAAGGCTTGTGTTCACATTTTAAATGAAAGCCAAGAAATGGGCCTCAAAGTCCTCCTCTCTCTCGGATAAAGCTGACATGGTAACAGCAGTGCGCAGTGCGTCCCATTTGCTTCCCCGAGTGCTGGGGGTCCTACTGGACTGAGACTGGGAAGCCTGAAGGGAGGATTCTGAGAAGATCTCACTCAACTCCAGTACCTGAGAGCTCCAGGAAATCACCTTGTTTCTAGGCCAGGGTTCTCGGTGTGGTTCCCTGTGCCAGGCACTGGGTTACAGACAGTGCGAGCTGGTGCCTGATGTCCTCTTCTGTGGGCTGGTTGCACCTACAAATCCAGTTAGCAAGAACAAAGCTACCAACATCAATGCCTTGTTCAGACCACGCACATCAGCCTGTGCTTTCCTGCACATGGAGATTTAAATGAAACAGAATGACTATGCTGCGTCATTTCTGTAACACTGGATTCCTATCATAGTTGAGAAACAAGTGCAAAAGTTAAGTTTGATGCAAATACATCTTCACATTTTCTAACAAATAAATGTACTGTATTTTTGCTGACATAACTATTTCCTGCTTATATATAATAAAATGAGATTAAAATACCTGCCACATTTCCACCTTCTTTTTCACTTCCTCTTTTTCTACAAACTCATTTAAGTTTGCCAAGGCTTTGGCCGCCAGGATTCTCCGTGCTTCCACACTTGGTTCAGACTGCAAGTTGGCATGTGGCACTGCTCCAGACAGATCTCTGCCCTCTGGGACATCAGGTCCAACCAGCCCCTGGGCCTGGGGACTGGAGCCATAGTCCAGAGGTCTGCAGTGGGTCCTGCCCTCCTCCTCCACACAGCCCGGGACACAGCCACTGTGAGGTTCATGCTGACAGTGAGCCACGTGCTGCTGAGAGGCATCTGGCGTCTTGGAGACACTGAGAAAGGTGGATGTAACCGGCTCCCTGGGGTTGTGTGAACCCGAAACACCCACAGAGAAGGTCCGACTCCGCTGTATCTCCTTTGAACTATCTCTCCTCTGGCAAAGTGGTGACCTGTCCTCTTTGCAGCCTTCCAAGTCGCCACACTTAGACTGGTTCCAGAAAGAAAACGTACTTCGAACCAGTGCCTCCTTACTGAGATCCAGCTCTGGAGACAGTGGGATGGAACAGGGGCTGCTGGGCCTCTGCTGCTGGATGCTGTGGCTCAGGAAGTCCGGGGCAGGCACTGTCCACGGAGTCTCCCCTTGCTCAAGGAGAGCCTCTGCCCTCTTCAAGTCTGAGTCACTGTAGCTGAGCCGCCTTTTCAGATGAGTCAGGGGCTGGAGGCGCTCAACATTCCGCCTCTTCCAAAGAGGGTCAAACTCGTGCTCGCTGGAAAGAATCATGTCTTGATTCTCGAACTCCGCTGCCACTGCGGTGGAGTTAAATGGGTCCGTTATGTCACTATGATGCTTCAGTAACTCTTTATCCAGGCGCATGGTGACCATCTCAGAGACAGTCTTTTCGATTTCCGCAGAGAGCCCAGAGCCTTCCAAGCCATCCTTCATCACCACTGGCCTGTTCTCGGCCAAGTCCAGCAGCAGTTTGCAAACCAGGTGGATGATTTTTGGCACATGTTTCAGAAGTCGTGCCTCATAACCATGAAGCAGATGACGCTGGCGAATTAAGTACTGGGCTAAGGTGACAGCATGTGCTTTGGGGTCGCAGCAAGAGAAGATATTCCGGAGAGGGGTCAGAAACTGAGTAAATTCCCGGACGCAGAGCAGCTGCCCTCTAGTTTGAATGGAATTGGGTCGCTTGGCCCGCACAAATATAATTGCTTGATCGGCGGTCATTCTTGTGGCGAATACTAAGTAACACGCTATCAGAACACCTAGCACAGGGGGAGAGAAGACAGACAGATGTTTATGGTTTCACTGACTTACCATCTTTTGATGACATAAACTTGAGTACCTGTTGAGAAATCGCATCAACCTGTGAAGGACAGCTGTGATGCTTTGTAACTTCTTGTACAGGTGTTTATTACTGTACCCCCTTTCAGATAGGCTTTACTTGCACCCCTGGGGGGCCGTCCTAAGCCATGATGGAGCCCGCCTTGCACCCTGAGGATAGGCCGGCACAGATCTGGCAGTGAGGACGTTTGAGCAGGGAAAGCAGGACACGGTGGGCTGAGGATCTGACCCACTGTGGCCTACTAATGTTACAGGACAGGCAGGTGGTTCACCAGCTTAGGGACACCTTGTTAGCTACGCACATCAGAACCTCTAAAGACTACATGTCCTCCCGTTTGGAGTAGGCTATGGCCTATCTTTCTCACTGGGACATGTGAGGTCATTACTGTAATAGTGGGAGAATTATCACACACAGTGTCCAGGAAGAGTGCGTTTCTCCCTGGGATGCTCCACGGCAGGTAGGAAGCCCCCGACAGGCACACAGGGGTATAGTGGATGGGGCAGGGGTGTGGATGATTTAGCCACACTAGACCACAGGACAATGAAGGTATCAATCTTCTTTTGTCTTTTTGAGACAGAGTCTCACTATGCAGTTCAGGCTGGGCTTGAGCTCACTTTGTAGCCCAGACTGGTCTGCAACGTGCAGTGATCCTCCTGCCTCAGCCTCCCAAGTGCTGGGATTACAGGCGTGAGCCACTATGCCTGGCTGAAGGTATCAATCTTACAGTATTTTTGTTCTCAGATGAGTAGCGCAATGACATTTTACTGCATTTTCACGTAAACTCACTATTTTTATGTGGAATTATGTACACCAGTGAACCTTTCCTCCACAAATGAAATGCTTACACTTCCAAAGTAGAAAGCACATGTGCTGTGCAGTAACAGCTCTAAGGTAAACCTTGACCCTGGCACTTGTTATGTGACAAATTACTTTCACAAACTCAAGTTTCTTCCACTCACATTACTGCTAAAGATTTTTTTTGGAGACATTACAGGACTTTAATAGTCAACCAGAATGGGCGTCATAATGAATCTTATTGTCTTCACAGTTTTGCCTATACTTTCGAACTTGGTACTATCAAGCAAAGCAGAATAGGGGAAAATCAGTCAAAACAGGATGGTGAGGAAATACAGGATTTCACATCAAGTTAATAGGAAATCAAAGTAGGTTACTATAATGTATCCTGCTATTTTTTATTTATTTTTCCCTTAATTAAAAAGATAAAAATAAAAAAGTAAATAATTAAAAAAAAGAAAAAGGGGGATTGAGATAAGAGAGGGCATAACAACAGAACAGCACAGGTCAAAACATAACCATTTAAGCAAAATAGTGTTTCACCGCAAGATATCCTAACATAAAAATAGTTAGCATAGTGTCTCTTTCCTTGAAATTTTTGAGTATAACTTCGTATACTGTAACTGCTAACGATTTTTAAAACAGCAAATGTAAAATGCTTATAATATAGAAGGTGAAAATGCTTGTTATCTTCATTGTCACTTTGGTTAAAAATTACATTTAAAAATATATTCGGTATTAGGGGGCCAAGGATATAATTCAGAGGTACAAGTGCCTTCCTGGCAAGCACAAGGTTCTGAGTTCAATTCCAAGTACCCACCCCCTAAATATATATGTATATATTAGGTATTAAAATGGACTGATTTTTTTCCCTTTAAAAAATATAGCAGTCAGTCAAGTAGTTTTAAAATCTGTTTAAATTTGATGAATTTCAGGTCTAAGATAGTGAAAAATACTCTCATTAATATAAGAATATGGTTTTTTATTTATTTGACTCCAAATATTCCTATTCATTAGGAAATCTTACTCATTTTATGTTTCAGTATGGCCACAAAGGATTAAAACCACTTCCTGGAATTTACCTGTTCGGCCAAGCCCTGCATGGCAATGGATGGCTACTTTTCCTTCTTGTAAGGCGAATGTCATTACTTTCACCATATCTAAGATGGCAGTGAGAGATGCTACACCATAATCCTTCCAGCCGAAGTTATAGAAATAAACTGGGCAACAAAAAAGAGGAAAAATGAAATTAACATACAGAAATAAATGTTTGCAAAGACATCGGAAGAAAATGAATGAATTCATAAAACACATGATGACATAAGGCATACACATTTCATAGCTATCCAGACCTAAAGTAACGGACTTTTCACATTTCCAGTGTGTTTAACTGTAACTTATCACAAAGCACATTGGATATGTAAACATATCTTGCTGATTCTCAGCAAGAAAGAATTATGAAAAAGAATTACAAATTCAAAGATCCAAAGATCCACATTAGAGTACTAAAGTTGCTCAGCTGCGATGATAAAGCACACAGTTCTTTTTTTGGAGACAGGATCTCGATGAATTGCCTCTAGCCTCAGACTCTTGATCCTCCTGGTTCAACCTCCAGGTGCTGGAATTATAGGTATGAGCCACCATACCCAGCAAGCTCATATTCCTACTGAAGCTCAGACATGCATCTAAATGATTCATGAACTGCTAAAAATACTATCTATAGATTTTCTACCTGGTAGAAAACAGAAAGCTAGACATGAGCCTAAAAGTAAGTGCAAGACAGCATGTTTATGCTGTTCAGCTTGGTCTGAGCAACACGTGCCAAATGGATTCCATCCCAAAGCTCCTGGTTCTGAGAAGCCTCCAGGAAGAATTCCCAGTGTCCCGTTGGAGGTGGGCTGGCCACGGCCCAAGCACGAGTGCCTCCATCTTCCAGCCTGGCTGCTACTTCCAAGTTGTGTGATCCTGGGCAAACCAGTAACTTTCTAAGCCTCTGCAGCTTCACACGTAGAAGAAGTAAAACAAGTGTGTTACCCAGCTGCAGTAGGGGAGAAATGAGGGAGCAGTGCCAGACATACAGTAGGTATCCCTGAAGGGGAGCCTCACACAGCAGGTCTCCTCCCACTGGCCCTCTCTCAGCAAGAAAGAAAACCTGTACTGGGATGCCAGCGCCAAGGAGGAATGCTAGGCTGGTTAAGGTCCAAGCCATCCCGTCTGCACTTCCTGGAAGTCCTGCGACTAGGCCGCTGGTGCTTATTTTTATTGTCTTTTTAACCTGATAGTTTAGAAGACAAAAATCTCTGGAGAACTGCTGGTGATTCCTAGTGAGGGTGAGTGGAGGTGAACTTACTGCCGGCCTCCATGAACGCCTCCGGAAGGTACGTGAAGCCGCTGTCCTGCTCCAAGGAGTTCCCACAGCTGGCATGTTCACCAGGCCGCTGCAGGTTGATGATTGTTTTTATGCCATGACTTAAAGGAAAGAGAACAGTCAGGCATATCAGAAGCAGAGTTAAAAAAACACTGTGAGTACTAATAAACACTAGTAACCACTCGCAAAGCTTTAAACTCTTCACTGTTTTAAAAATTAAAGCATATTTTCCACATAGGAGGCACAAACAATGTAAGACAACACAGAGACAGTCTGCTTCCTGGGTGTGAGGGACACATCTACCTGAGGAACTGCTCAATGATATGGTACTTCTGGAGGAGCTCAGAGGACGGGCGGGCCATGGCCAGGATGCTGTCCGTGACCCTGCAGAGAGGGCAGGGAAGGCGAGAAGCAGAAACCAGGTCATCTGATCGCAAAGGACTGAGGGAGGAATCTTCCTATGAGTTCAACAAACCTGGGAGAGTATTCTTATACAAATCTTATAACATGGCTTCAATCTTACAACATGAGAAGAAATCTAGCATCTTACATTTCTGAACAAACAAACAAACAAACAAATCCAGGAATAATGTATTTATGACTCTGACAAAAAAGTCTCCAAAAACTCTCAAAAGAGTCTAGCAGACACAAGGGAGAGACCTCAGCTAGTAGCAGAGCTAAATTACAGCATCTTAATCAGTTAGCTAATGGTTACTGACTAAATGAGGAGGGCTAGCCTGGAGCACCCTGCTTATACAGCTGAGGTAACGTGAGGCATTAAATGGGGATAGTAATGCCTGACTCCAAATTTGTGTGAGAATTCAATATGATACAGATGTAAAATCTGCACAAATTCTGCCATGTGATTATGAATAAATACTATTATACTAAGTTATTATAACTTAGCAAAAAATATGGGCTCCAGAGTAAGTCAGGCTTCAAATGCTGGCTTTTCTACATGTGAAGCAAATTAACTGATCTCTCTAGAACATCAATAAAGTGGAATTAACAGCTCAAGGGTTTTATGAAGATGAGTGATAATTTGAAAGCATCCAGCAAAGTGCCTGCCCTCCAGCCAAATAGATGTTTATAAACACACAAATGGCACAGGCCCAGTGAAGTGCTGCCACCCTCCAGCCTCCAGCTTTCCTCTGCCAGCTTCTCGATAGTGGCCAGTGAGTCTCCTGCAAGTTGTGCATCACATGAACCTCACAGGACTAAGAGACATTAGATTAGCAGGGTTGTGTCCACAGATACCTCCCCTCTGTAACAATGGGTAACATTTAACACAGGCCCAAAAGGTCTGGGATCCCCCAAATTTACCAGTGCTTAGCAGAAACGGAGGAGAGAAGTAATGTGAAAACAGCCGAGATTAAAAGACACACGTGATTTAGTCAACAATAAAGCAAAACTATTAGTGCAACCTCAGGCTGTATTACTAGGGATCTATTTGTCTGACTAAGCCTTGGGAACATCTGCCTCTTCGCACCATCACAGCGACAGTGATAGGTCTGAATGTGGACTATGGAGAACAAAAAAGACAGTGGGCTCCAAAATGTGTTACACAGACATACCCCGCAAATCCGCTATAAAAAAGCACAGGTCACAAGTCAGGTAAGTGGGTTGACAAGTATCTAATTTAAAAATGAGCTCTCGATGTACGAAGTAATTAATGTCTAGAATTCTTTAAACAGTGAATTCCTCTAAGTGTGTTTCAAATGTCATTTGATTATCAGAATTTTTCCAGTGTCACGCATCAAAAATAGCTTATTGTTACCAGAGAAAGGCAGTGTGTTTCAAGAGCAATTTTAACTGCATTTACACACCAGAAACAATGGAAGCACTTTAGGGTGTCTCCTGAGCTGACAGCCTGTGTCACTTCTCTCAAGGCAGACTGAGGCGTATTTATGTGAAAATACATCTTTTTGCACAGAATATAAGAACAACAGTGAGGCTAAAAGTTGCCTGCAAAAAACTGAAGAACTATAAATGTACCTCTTTATTTTCTCAAAGTTATAGGTGAGCCTCTTTATTAATTCTAGAAATTTCTCAAATTTAAGAGCTATCTGATGACTGATTTCTTTTAAAAGTGAATCTCTGTGTTTTTGGCTTAATGACTTCCATCTTACAGGAGAGAGACTGATCTGAGCAGGCCAAAGCACCCCCCAGATGGCCTAGGTTGTGCCAGGGGTGCCAGCAAAGCCCACGAGCGCCCTTTGGCTCACACGCGCCCTCCTCCCTCACCCCGAGGGCCCCTTACCATGAGGAGTAAACCCCCTTAATGGCTTGCTCCTGCTCACTCCAGCGCGCCGGGTTCTCGTACTTGCAGGCTCTCCCGCCGCATGCCATGGAGCATGCCATGTGCCCAGGGATGACATGCCGCAAACGCTCCCCCACTTTCGTGTACTTTGGTGTTGGGCGTCCTGAGCTTCCTACAACAGGGAAGGAAACGAAGAGTCCAAACCCTACTCCAAATGGAAGCGTTGCACGGGAAACAGCTCCCCTTTTCTCTTGGGATGGTAAATGACAAGCCTGTGCTAACTGCCCTTCATCTAATAGTTAAAGCTCTCACACACAATCAGCTCCACGCATCTTGCTAATGAACAGAAGAAACAGCAGAAGCCCACATTTTACAGAAGGACAAGTTTTGTTCCAAAACTACATTTTTAAATGCAAGGCAAAACAAAACAAAACAAAACAAAACAAAATACACATCCAATCAGTTTTTATCTCCTCTTACATACTGATTCAAATTCTGAGCACGACGATGAAGAGTGTAATACAGAATTGTCAGTATTTAACAGCCTATTCACATTCCATAAGCCTAGTGACAAAGTGTGGCAATCCATAGGAAGAATAAGAGCTTTACTTTTTCTCTCCAGGAAAGTTGGGTTCCCCTGCGGGCGGCTGACAGAGGACACTGCCACCATCACCTGGAGAGAGGATGAGGACAGGAGCTTTGTGGCGGAACCGGAGCCTCGCCGAGCCTGCTGCAGCCTCACTACCGGGTCCGAGGTGGAGTGTCGGCGACCCTGCAGGAAGGAGCTGAGGAAGTGCACAGCCGACGGTCTCCGGGATGCATCCGGCATCTGCATGGCATCGGCTCCCGGGAGGCAGGAGCTGGAGGCAGGAGCAGGCAGCCCGGCTTGCGCTATGAGCAAGTGCTCTGAGACACAGCATCGCTCTGCATGATCTAAGAGCTATTCAGCATAGGCCTACTCGTTTCCATGGTGACCAACAAAGAAACTACTGATTCCCACTTAGATCTGAACAGCAAAAATCCTACATGAATGGATTGTTTTGGACAAATTGTTCAACTATAAGGAAGAATATGCCATTTAAAGAGATTTTTCCTAAACTTAGATTACTTCATTTTGTTTCTTGAATGTCCTTATCTGGCTACTCAAAGAATTACTTTCAAATTACTGAGATTACTACATTTTAGAAAAATGTCTTTATGATGCAACCACTGCCTTTTATACACATTAAGATGTTTAAAATGTGTTATTCCTTTCTTTGAATATTTTTTTGGGACAGCCCTTTCTACTTCTCTTTTAAACAGGGGAGGTAAAAAATTAATTGTGATAATGTGGGATAAGCTGGATACCTTACAACTCTATGAAGATATCATTCAATTTCTCAGAACCAAACATCCCTGTATTTTTTTGATAGAAGTGCTGAAGAAACACTTGGATAGAATAAGTGCATTTTTAGAGAAAATATATGATCAGAAAACACTTAATTTCACATTTTCACTTTCAGAATATGGAATACCAATTCTTAGTAATGCCTCCACTGGATAACAACTGTTAGGAGTAGCCGAGGGGCGCGGCTTCTGCTATAGAAGAGAAAAACTTCAATGCCTGGGTAGAGTCACATTTTGAAGGAGCTGGACAAGGTGGAGGCAGCACTTTGAGGATAAAGGGTGTAGAGAAGAAAGCAACACCCACTGCTGGCCTGCTGCTGCGGTGGGCTGGGCTTACTGCTGCCACGCCCCCCCCCCCCGCAGGAATGCCACGCTGCGTGTGGCCTGTGCTGTTCACCGCTTTCCCTTGTGCTGTGCTCTCCGCCTGAATGATGTTCTAGTTGTGCAGAAAGGAAACAAAACTGCCTTACATGAGGTTCTTTCCTGCTTTAACTGTTACTGATGCTACAAGCAAGCTCCTTTTAAAATGCCACCCCCATTTCTTCAGTAATGTGTACTTTTGTCAAAGAGACACAGAAGTGCAGTATGGTACCCAGATTCCTATGCCATGTACAGTGTCATATGTTTACTCCTTAGAATTCAGCAACGGAACCCTCCTCCCCCATCCAGAAAGCACCGCTTTCTTGTTGGAGAAATGGCATAAAAATATCTAGGCAAGGGCAAGAACAGCAGTACTGCACAGAGGTCTGTGTGACAGGTGGGCAGGGATGGTAGAGGTGAGGGCAGCTGGGTGGCACGGGCGGCAAAAGGCCCTCGATGTTCCATCTGACACAGGCGCTGGTGCAGGATTCCGGGGAAGCCTTGCGCTTCCAAGTGGGCACCACTGGGAGGGCTTCAGGGCAACACGGATAAGCTGAGGACAGAGGCTCTGAGGAGCAGGACACTTTCGGTGACCCTGGGACCCCCAGCTCAAATAATTGGTGAGACCCTGCAGCTAGGTTAAGCAGAGAGGTGGGGACACATGGTGAGTTCCACTGGAAAGCAGGATGGATAAGGTACTAAGGAGAAGTGGCATGGAAGGCATCTGAAGAACAAAGTCACCAGGACTTTGCAATTGTACTAAAATATAGTCTGGTGAAGGGCAGGACTTTTGGAACAAGGTAAGGAAGGATGGTAGATAAACAGCTATGAGAATAATTTCTTCTGTGAAATCTTGGAGACTGAGCTGATTAAAGCTCATATATAGTTAATGACTCCATGTCAGGGCCTGGCAAAGCTCAGCCTGGCGCAAAGATGAGTCTCCCAGGCAAAAGCAGCCCTTGCAGCATGCCGACAGCAGGGTGCAGGCATGCCCCCACATCCACCTGGCAGATAGCACAGACCCCCGGCCACCTCTGGGCATGAGATGGGTGCATAAGTCTTCACGTCCCCTGCTGCCTGAAGGACTGCGTAGGAACTATTCCTTGGCAACTCATTTCTAAAGAACTGGCTCCGCAAGAGACAATATGGTAACTACTTTTAGGTCAGGATTATCTGGTGGTGAAACACTATTCTGCTTAAATGGTTATGTTTTGATCTGTGCTGTTTCATTGTTATGCCCTCTTTTATCTCAATCTCCACTCCATTATTTACTTTTTTAATACTTTTTAAAATTTTTATCCTTTTAATTAAAGGAAAAAAATAGCAGGATATATTATAGTAACCCACTTTGACTTTCCATTACCTCGATTTAAAGCCCTGTATTACTCTCACAATCTGGTTTTTAACTGATGTTCCCCTATTCTGTTTTGCTGGATAGTATCAGGTTCGAAAATTTAGGCATCAGCTGTGAAGATAATGAGATTCATTATAACGCCCATTCTCGTTGACTTTTATCACTTTTGAAGACCTACAATGTCTCCAATGGTTTGGCTTTGTCGGTTTTGTTCTTTACGGTTTTGTTCAATTGTATTATAACTAATTGTATAGGCAATTCTATTAGAGATAGCGGGAGGCATTATGGTAACCATTGATGATCACCTTGTATTATGTTTTCACATTTTCTATTATGTCCACCCTTTTGACTTGACCGATTCTGTTCTGTTATGTCACATTTGGTTTTACTCTCTTCCAAAAAAGTAATAAGAACCGTGAGAGCAATGAAACCCAAAATGTGTAATAGTCATTGTACAAAAGAGAGGAAAAGAAAGTGCTCTAAACTATATAACTGCATGTATATTTAAGTGTATAAGATAGAATATGATATCACAGAGTTTTATTGGATCATTGAACAGAACTGTTTGCAGTATCATTGATGGAATGTCCACTTTACAAGCTTTAATTTTGTGACTTGAACAATTATTTCTAAGATGACAGTATGTAATCCATTAACTAGTGATTTCCTACTGTTCATTTTTTTTTCTGCAAATCTGTATAACTTGTACCCTTTCTCTGCTTTTTTTTTCTTTTCTCCTTAAATAAAATTAAAAAAAAAAAAAAAAAAAAGAACTGGCTCCGCTTCATTGCTTCATCGCTTCATCGCTTCATTGCTTCATCACAGACAGCGTTACTCAGGGCGAGGCCCACCTCCAGCACCTTCTCCACACCTTAGCCTGGCTCCCTCCCCAACTCGGTGCGCGCTTACCGGTCTGCTTTGTGTTTGCAGCATGTTGTGTATACATTTTCCTACTTTTTCAATCAGTACAAGGACACTTCCCCAGTTTGATTGTGCCTTTTCACAATTTTTATTAAGTGGAAGCACAATGACAAGGACACACCCAGTTGATGCCTAAGTTTACATAATTATTCCTTATTGGTCGGACACTGAAGCTGCTATCAATAATTTTCATTTAAAAATCAGACATTCAATTCTTCAATACTAGAACCTTTTTATTTCTTCAGTAAATTCCCAAGCATGGTATGACTGGGGAGCAATTAATTTTCTTTCTTTCTTTTTTTGGGGGGGGGGGCTCTAAGCCTTCAGTTGAAAAGCAATTAATTCTCAAAATCTTTTTTTTTTTTTTAGCTGAGTCTTCCATATTTAAAAAACCAAGTATGAAGAATTAGAAAGAAGGAACACTTCTAGCAATTCAACATAGGTTTTTTCCTTTCTTCCGGAGTTAGAAAAACAGCATCAGAATAAGGATAAGGGAACACTATACTATCTCTGAAAATTTTTATACTCTTTGCCCCAGAAATCACATCACCTCCACCACTTCTTGCCTCCTGAGGACATTTTTACTCATAGCATAGTGCCAAAAAGCAATCACACAAACAACTTTAGAGGCATTATTTTCCAACTTGTAGAATAAAAGATTTTTATGTTTGTTACAAACTGGTCTCTTCAAAATATTTTTAATTTGTGAGTCAAGTGAGTTTTACACATCTATAAGAAACTATACTTGTTTTACCCCTTAAAATCAATTAAAAATTTAAATTCGGTACTGGGTGTGGCAGTGCACTCCTGTAACCTTAGCACTTGGGAAGCTGAGTTAGCTGAGTTAGGAGGATCATCGCAAAGTTCAAGACCGGCCTGCGCTACAAAGTGAGCCAAAGGCCAGCCTGAACTGCACAGGGAGACTCTGTCTCAAAAAGATTCCCTCTAAAAAAAAATTATACTGGGATGAACTATCAATTGACTCTTATACATAGCATGACTCTTATACATAGTTTTTATTGGAAACTGTCGATAACGAAAAAAGGCCTATTTTTTAGATCAATATAAACAAAACTATTTTAACCTCCATTTCATCTTTTATGAAACATGGAAATATTTCATTGTGACAGTAACTTTATGAAGAACCACGCTTGCCATACCAGATAAAGAGCTTTTGGTTCTTGTTTTGTTTTATATTTTAAAATTTTGTGTGTTTTTTTTTTTTGGGTACCGGGGATTGAACTTATGACCTTGCCTCTGCCAGGCAGGCGCTGTGACACTGGGTTGAAACCCCAAGCTAAATCCCCAGCTGAGGTGGTTTCTTATGGAGGCTGTGCAAAGTCTTCCAGTGTTGCTACCATAAACCCTGCTCATCTCCTCCTCCTGCTACAGTTAAAATTTATTTGTAGGTCACAAAAACTAACACACTGTTATTTTCTCACCTACCTGCTTACAACCAATCTATTTTTTCCCTCTTCTGATAATGTGTTTTTCTAAATAAGTACTAAGGAAAACAATGTCCCATTTTCTTCATTTTACGATCACAAAAGCAGAGGGTCTTGTGTCTCAGTTCCTGTTTTAACTCTTCTCCCCACTTTTTCCAGAGAAAAACCACCACAACTACCACCACCACCCTCCAAGAAAACAGGAAAACACTACAAAAGGGAATCCACGAGTGTCCTGTGGATACTGAGACTGTCACTGTGTAAGAAGCCGTGCTAGTATCTCTAGACCAAACATCTTTAAAGCTGCTGGTCTGTCTGTAGTGAGACAGTCAGACAGAACACTAAGAATGATATTTAAGGAAATATGTGAGATATTGATCAATGAAAAATTAAACCTACTAAATGGCTCAATCAGTGAGTATTCCATCTCTTCCTCCTTAATTTCTAAAAGTGGGAAGTAGAAACTGAGTGTCCTTAGCAGATCTGAAATGATGGCCAAGGCTATTCCTTCCGATGCAAGCAAATTCACACTCTAGTGGGGACGGGAGACAAAGGCCCACTTCTTACAGCCATAAGCCCCCTCCAGGGATCTATCTCCCTGCGATGCTGACTTCTCAGCCGTGTGCCTTCCCTTCTGTGACACTTAAACAAGGCAACTAGCTGTTCAACTGTCGCACAGCACAAAACGTTTTCTAAAGTCGAATCAAAATCCATTGTTCTATAAACTCATTTCCAGTTCTTCCTTAAACAAAAAGCAAAAGCATTTCTTTGACTTGCAGGGTTCTCAGATACCCAAAATTTTTTCCCAAGACTTTCCTTATTTAGACTAAATCTTCTGTTTTTCAAATGTTCCTATTATATGTCATTGCTTCTAGGTCTCTCACTGTAATTTCCCTTCTTATTCTCCGTGTATAGGAAAGCTGACTACAGCAGCATCTCTGTTGCTGTCCCACCCTTAGCCTGTGTAGCTCCGGCCTCTGCTTCCATCATCCACTGAAAACTGTTCTACTCAGGTCTCCAGGCATCTCTTTCCAGGTGGATGCTCCATAGTTCTTGTCTTACCTGATTGCTTGGCAGCACACAACATATTTGAACACGTTAGTTTTTTTTTCTGGTCTTTTTTCCTTTTTATCGGTACCGGGGATCGAACTCACGACTGCCTGCTTGCAAGGCAGGTGCTTATGCCGCTGAGCTAAATCCCCAGCCCCTGAACACGTTAGTTTTAACTTTTGAGGGGATTTAATGTGTTTTTACTTTGAATCAATCTTAAAATTTAAAGGAAAATTACAAATACAGTACAATGATTCTTTTCTTCTTGAGCTACTGAAGTTGTAGATGCGCTGCCCCATTACTCTAAATAATTTAGTGTGCATTTCCTACAGAGATGCTCTAATTTTCCTAAATCCAAGAATTATGAATTACTACTGGTTTCCTGTTCCTCAGATGCATCCACGCTTCCCAAGTTATCCCCAAAGCATTCTCTATAGCCAGAGGCCAGTTCCGGTCACACACAGCACTTAGGGTCCTATACTTTTCATCCACTTTACTGCAGGACAGGCTCCTCAGTCTGTACCTCCGACGACTTTGACACTTTTGAAGAGAACAGGCCAGTCATCTGAGAGAATGTCTCTCTCCTTCAGTGTCTGTTTCACTGTGCTTAGTCTCCACGAGTTCTGGCTGGCATTAGAGAACAATGATGTTTAGAAGCCAGTGAAGTGCTTGTTAGGTACACTCATTGCTATCAGGGCACTGTTTCCAACAGCCTTTCCTGGTGGACAGAGTTGAAGAATACATGTGTTTATATAGACATACATACCTACCACACATTTACATCTGTATTTATTTCATTGTATATATATGTATTTCTCTGTGTATGCATACATATTGAAAAATCAAAGACCTACCTTACCAGCTTCTACCCAACCTTCCACAGGGTTCCTCTCAACTTCCTCCCTTCCCTAACTATCGTAACTCAGTGAGAACACTGACCTAACTGACCACCCCATGTAACCACCTGTCCTCACTGCTGCCACTGCTTCTCCAGGTGGCTGTGCCTCCCACCACATTGTGACCGTAAGTCCTGAGGCTGCAGCTACTGCCTAGCTGTGTAGATGTGCTCCTCACCCTGCCTGTATCTAATCTGCCATGCAGGAACCCTCCCATCCTGCACTTACTTAGCCCTGACACCCTGGGCCAATCACTCCAGGCTTCATCACTGATGGATGCCTCCCATACGGATCTCCCCATCACTCTGCATGGCTTCTGCACTGCAATGTCCCATGTCCTGGTGTGGATGCAGATTTTGTCTGGCTCACCCACTGGCTTCTGGAATTCTTCAGGCAGAAAAGAGAAGACCTCTATTAAACATCGAAAAATACAGACTGCATAAAACTCACCATTTTAACCATTTTTAAAGTACGCAGATTTTTGATGTTAATGTTATGCAACACTCCCCAGAATCCATGTCTAGAATGCTTTTCCTCCTCCCAGTGTAAAGCTCTGCACCTGTCACACAATAGCTCCCATTCTCTTCTTCCCCCGTCCCCGGCAAACATCTTCTACCTTTGTCTCTTTTGGATTGATTAGGACATATGTGAAAGCACACAGAAGCTGCCTTTCAGTGTCAGGCTTACTTCACTTGGCATAATAGTGTGTGTCAAGCTTTCCTTCCTTTTTAAGGCATTTATATCTATCTATCTATATTTCACATTTTAGTTATTTATCTACTGATGGGCAGTTGAATTATTTCTTTTTGGCTATTATGAATAACGCTGCTGGGAACATGAGTGTACGAACATCTGCCTGCTTTCAACGTGTCTGAGTCCCTGCTTTCAACGGGTTTGAGTACACAGTCAGAATAGAATTGCTAGATCATACAGTACCCTGTGAAGAACTGCCATGCTGCTTTTCTTTTTTTTTTTTTTTTTTTTTTTTTTTTTGTCTTTTTCGTTTTTATCGGTACCGGGGACCGAACTCACGACTGCCTGTTTGCAAGGCAGGTGCTTATGCCGCTGAGCTAAATCCCCAGCCCCAATGCTGCTTTTCTGGAGCAGTGCATCATTTAATAGTC